TCAGCTCCAGCTTGGCTTAAGTGGCACCATATCAAGTGAATTAAGTCCTTTACTATGTAGAACATAAATGTCGTGGGACTTCTTGATGCAAAAGGGCTTCAAAGAGTAGAAATAGGCTAGCGCTAAGGAGGATTTAATGACTACAGTTTAAGCCAACCAAATAAGTGATTTTACTATTGGATGCCCACGAACTTAGTTAGATAACTTGTGTGTTGTATGAATGACACGTACCTTGCAACCCCTGTACGTGTTTTTTTTTTTTTTTATGATGCTATAGTATGTTATATACGATATGAAATATGATGATTATGCTATGATATGAATTATATTCTGATATGAATGTTATATGATACATGTACTTTCATATGTCACGCCATGTATATTATGATAGCATGTCCAGACTATGTCTATGAGACATTGATAAGCCATGTACATTTTAACTATGATAGATATGTCAGTATATGTATATATATCTCATAGGAATGTTATGTCATGAAAATGATGAAAGTATAATTTACATCACAAGTATGTACTGTAATTTGAAACTATGGGATCACATGCATATTGTATGTTACGAACATTGAGATACTTCCCCAGTACGATTAATATAGACACGTACACCATGATATAATACTCGTTCCTTTCTCTCTGTAGCTTCTAGCAACATGAACGTGTGTTATTCTGTAGTCTGGCCTAGGGACTACGTATAAGCGCCTGCCTGGTAGGTCATGTGCGTTTACGTGGATCATGTGTAGAGAAATATCCAACCTTCCCTAAACTAGAAAGTACAACCCAAGGAAGAGTTTATGAAAAGATTGATCTAACCATGATTGCATGTGATTGCATTTCTCGACTCCAACAGTGGAGCAACTTACTGAATATTTTTAAATACTCAAGCCACGTTCGCTATTTCTTTCCAAGTAAAGGCAAGACACTCATTTATGGATGACGGTGCTGTTATCGATGCCATGAAAATAAAGTTAGAGTAATTGTATTTCTCATTTAAGTTGTAGCCTTTAGGTAAGATTATGATGTATCCATTTGTGACACTTGAATAAATAAAAGGTACAAGAATAAACCGAGATCACATCCAAATGAGAGCGATCATGAGGATAGAATGATTAAGAAAGACTTCAAAGAATTGAATGTCACTTCTTATACCAACAAGGTGCACCTTCCTTTCTGTGGTTCAATCATAAAAACTTTATGATTAAACGTGTTTTACTTTGAGCAATTCTATGTTGAGTGACCTTTTAGAAATTTCTTAGGATAAATGTGAGTTAGAACAAAGCATGTTGAAAGTACTTGTGTTGGTAAGTGGAGATAGTAAATCACTCAACTTACCCGAATCAGCATTTTTTTCTTTTTGTTTTACGCTCCGTAATTCTTCCTCTGCCAAGATTCGGTAGAATAGCAGAGCAAGTACAAGTATTAGTAGAATAGCAAAAATGTGTTCCTCGTCATTAATATGTTTGCTCGAGGTAATTGTGACCTCTCTTGGAGAACTGATGACGCATCAAAGATGCATCCACAATTTGGCAACTACTATCATGGAGCTAAATTTTTTTTTTTTTTCACATGCACCTCCTTAGTAGCCAATGAATTTCTCTCTTGTTTCATTTTTCTCTCCCACACCATTTTTTCTCTCTCTGGCGTCCACTTGAGAGGATAATTAATTATTTTTTCAAACGAACAAAACTCTCACCAATGCATGGGACACAAATTTTCTGCCGAGTATTTATGGCCATTCATTGAAATCTCCAAATTGAATATACCTATGAACCAAAAAATTATGAAAAAGATTAAATAAAGAAGAACAAACAAAAGTTCCAAACAGTTTCGAGGGGACAGGAATCACGATTCTCTATAATGATATGATATTGTTCACTTTGGACATAAGTTCTCATAGCTTTGCTTTACGCTTCCCAAAAGACCTCATACAAATGAATATGTATTCCCGCACTTATAAACTCATGATCATTCCTTAAAGTAGCAATCTGGGAGTCTTGTCACCCTCAACAGGAGGCAGAGAAGAAAATAGCAATGCAATGAATTGTGTCATACCGCCTCAACTATTGTCGGAACAAGATTGAATTAGCGTTCGTGTTTCCATAAATACGAAAATATAAATTAATATATACCAATAAAATATAGATATCATACGTAAAAGAAGTGTAAAAGTATTACAAAAAAAAACCTCTCTATCAATTAAAACATATTCAAGGGGACAATTTTGCAGTCTCTCAACTACATTTTGAACTTTTTTTTTTTCCTTTTAATTCATGAAGTAAATTTTGTAGCTACCACCTCGTCCAATAACTGTCCTATGTAAGAAACAATTAATCCCAAGGTTGAAATTCGCTATAAATTCATATGGCCGAGGGAGGTGGTGAAGCACTCGCCAATGCATGAGCCAAAGGCAATGGTGAAGCCTCCAACCTCATTCATGAGGGAAAAATGGACGAAGCTGGATCAATACATTTCCATTGCCCTTTTCATACTTCATATTCTTTGTATTTTCGCTCCGTTTCATTTCAATTGGCGTGCATTTTGGCTTAGCTTTGCATTATACGTTATTACTGGTCTAAGCATCAGTGTTTCGTATCATAGAAATCTTGCTCATAAAAGTTTCGAACTTCCCAAAGTGCTTGAATACTTCTTTGCTTACTGTGCAGCTCACGCACTTCAGGTTTGACTTGTGAATCCTTCTTTGTTTATTTCCGTTAGAAATTTACTTATTTTTAAATTTTATTTTTAGGGTGATCCAATCGATTGGGTGAGCACACATAGATGTCATCATCAATTTGTCGATACTGATAGAGACCCACATAGCCCTATTCAAGGATTCTGGTTTAGTCATATTCTTTGGCTTTTTGATTCCTATACTTTGACCAAACGAGTTTGTCCAAAATATTTTACCGACTTTAAAAAGATTGAACGAAGTATCATTATATGGTTCTCGAAGCATGGGAGACCCGACAACGTTCGTGATTTGGAGAAGCAAGCCTTCTATAGGTTTATCCATAAGACATATCTTCTTCATCACGTTGCTTTTGCAGTCCTACTCTATGAAGTTGGAGGACTTCCATTCCTTATATGGGGCACGGTACATATACTCTGGTTGGCTTGCACCGTTTTTTATAGATATGCATAAGATCCTCATATTCTGCTTGCTTGAAGAGTATACTATTAAGCCATTTACTTGAAATTATGCAGTGTGTGAGGATTGTCGTGCTCTTGCACATAACATTTATGGTGAACTCGGTATGTCATATATGGGGAAAACGACGATGGAATACTAAAGACTTATCGAAAAACAATTGGTAAGTGGCTCTACACAAAGTCAAGATGATTTAATATTTAGATATACACTATTCATATGTTTGAAATGCGCGACAAGGTATTGTTATCTCCTAAATCTACTTTACAAATCAAATCTTCTAAATTTACCCCCACAAATTAAATCCGTTGATTTTTCTCTGTAAGTTAAATTGCTTATTGACTCATCGTAGAGTCTTTGACTGTTGGACCATTTGATTGGTTAGCCAATTTAGTCTGTGATTCGGTTTTTTTATTTTGATACACTTCTTCATGCATGTCAAATTACTCTTATTAGATCTATTCGACAATGAATCCTTCATATATTTATACAATTAACTGGTATGTGATATTGTCCACTTTAGATATAAGCACTCGAGGTCTTGCTTTAAGGCTTCGTCGAGCCTCACACTAATAGAAACATTATCGTTATGTATATCATGTGGTTGTTCCCTTATCTAACCTGGTACTATGAGACTTTTGTAATCGTGTTAATCTTGTTGAATAAGTTTTACAACCTTTATTATAACTTTGTTCATAGAAATATTCAACAATCATGGATGGACTTTTATGTTGTAGACGATTAACATGGTTTGGTCCCTTTTTTTTTTTTTTTTGGTTAATAAAGGTTGGTAGGCTTGCTTGCATTTGGAGAAGGTTGGCACAATAACCACCATGCTTTCGAGTACTCAGCTAGGTTGGGCATTGAATGGTGGCAATTTGACCCTGGTTGGTATGTTATTTGGTTTCTTCAAGCCATTGGAGTGGCCACTCATGTCAAATTACCCTCACAAATTCACAAGCAAAGGCTTATACACAAACCCGAAACCCCTTCCATTGGAATATAATGAGTTTTATGTTGAATTCATCATGTTTCTTATTTGCAAGAGGGTTACCTTTTTAGCTTTTGTAGGAGGGCGTAAACCGTACTATATGAACGTTGGTATGCTTTATTTTTTTCAAGGTTAGAGAGCTTTTTCTTAAATAATCAGAACATTCATTTTATTGAGACTTTTTTTTTGTGTTAAAAGTTATATTGATTATTGTGCCCCTCTCTCTCACGTCACTAAGTGAGTCTAGCTAACTTTAGATCATGTTGTCTACCTCCCAACAATGAATGCTCAAGCTTCTAGCACTAATTTAAGAAAGTTTTAGAAAATAGGCTGAGAATTTTAAAAGAGAGTTTGAAAGTTAGGTTGAGCTAGAAATTGAAAACAATGTTATAGAACATGCAAGCAAAAAGACTACCACGAATTAAACCGTATATAGATTTTTTGGATAGGAAAAGTTTGACAACTAGAAGAGTATATACGTATCACCCCGAGCCCAACAGGTACAATTCGCTCTATCCTTGTGACTAGCACCTTCTTAACCATTGTGAATTTCTAGATTATATTGGAGGACTTAAAGTGTGATTTTCATATCGGTGCAGAAGAAAGAAATGCTCGGGATGCATCAAGGAACTTAGTGAATTTTTTTTTAAAAAAATGGTAATGTAATCGAAATTTGGGTCAAAGTCAACCGAGGGCAAAAAGGTAATTTTGCCATACACGTACCACCTTGAGGGGGTCAGACCTGGAAGAACGGAAAAGGGAAATAAAAAAAATTAGAGAGAGAGAAATGAAGAGTTAGGATTTTTTAAGAAGAAGAAGAACAAGGAGGGAGAAACGCCACAGACCGGAACTAAAGCACCCTCAATCTTAGGTCTCCTACTAGAACTACTCAGAGTTTCAAGAGAAGTGGTCTGAATGTTGGATCGTTCGTTTTCGGTAAGAAACGAGCAAGAACGTGAGGTAAGTCTGCGACCTCTCTTGTTTCAAGATTTCACCATACATCCGGGGGTTTTAGATGATTTAGACCTTAATAATCTAGTTGAACACTTTAGATGAGGAATCTTGCAAGTCTTCAGAGGAAACGCGGCAAAAAATCCCGTTGAAAAACAAATCGAGAAACCATCCTACTTCAGTAAGAAACTGAATTTTTCTCGGTTTTCGACTTCATTTATTAAGCACTGTGAGTATCAAAAAAAGACAATAAAAATAGATCTGGATAGGTGGACTTGAGATCTTGAATTCTTGTGAAGGAATCGATTTAATTCGAGTTACGGTTTGGAAGATAGAAAAATTCAAAATAAATAGGTTGATATAGAATTTGACCGGAATCTAGAAAATTGCAGAAATGAGAGGAAGAAGACGAACGGCAGAGGGACGCGTGTCAAGAAGGGAGAGGGCCGTGAGTCGTCGGGAAAATGGGACATGTGTCTGGCGTGGAATGGCGGAGGAAAATCATGAAAAATACTGCGTCAAGTAGGGTCTTAATTAGCCGAAAAATAAGCTTCGAAGGGCACGCTTCATTCCTGTAAGTAACCATACGGATTTAGGAAGTAATACTTGTAGGGCGCGCTTGGTTTTGCATGCATGCTAGAGCAAATTACCGTAGGTAGCTAGTTCTAATGATCCTATATACTTAGGGAATTAAATATATATCGGTTGGACTTGCTGTCCTAGTGAGATTTTGTACTGGTTATTTGTATGCTTGCTGGACTATCTTACTATTGCTTTTATCTGTTCATACTATGTTGGCAGACGGGAGAATTTGTGTATCTACGCTCCGGGTGTTGATGGATGTTACCGTTGAGCTTGTATGGTTGTATGCATTGTTAATCATACATAAACTCCTCTTGAATGATTCTGTGAACTTATGATATGATTGATAAGCTGCAGTGTTGTGATATGCCTAGGGTGAACTCTTGTAGGGATTAAGTTGACTTATTTAGGGGACTCCTCTGATGTTATGGTCTATGGTGTCGTGAGTGACGCTTAGAGGGAGAGACCCTTTAATCTTGGACTGTTATGGACTTGGGAGTCTTGATTGAGTGGATCTGAAAGCCAGGGTCCCTAACTCAATAGTTTCAACTACCCTTGTACTCTAGTGTGGTACTGTTGAGCTAGGCGAGACGCCAATTAGGGAGGTGTTACCCTGCCCTTCCTACTCCGATATGGTACCGTTAAGCTAGGCGAGACACTAGTTAGGGAGATGTTACTCTTCCCTTCCTACTTCGGGGTACCAACTGAGCTAGGCGAGACGCCAATTAGGGAGGTGTTACTCTTCCCTTCCTACTCTGGTGTGGTACTGTTGAGCTTGGCGAGACGCCTGCTAGGGAAGTGTTACTCAGTGGTAGATCGACTACTCTACATGGGGATCCGTCTTATGGTAAGATGTTGATCACGCGAGTGGGTCAAAGGTCGCCTGCATGATGGGTCCGTCCTGTGGAAGGAAGTTGACCATGCAGTGACTAATTCTAGCTAGGTTGTACGAGTGGTACATGTAGTTATGAGGAAGTACCTCATTCTCAAACGTTGAATACCGCTTCAAAGGTTAAGTCCTTCCACCCTGAATTGTGTACTGAGAGTATTGAGACTCTAGGGTCTAGAATAGAGTTCGTGGTTCTCTCCTAAACTTGGATGTGATTAAGAGTCTACAAGTAGGTTGCTTACCGAGTGTATTTTTATACTCACCCCGTTTCCCCTTCTTTTTTTTTTCAGGTACCAGTCGAGGTGGGGAGGTGTTCGAGAGCTGCACTGTCACAGAGGGGTGTCGAGCGTCAGTCCCTTGCCGATCTTTTAGAGTCTTTTGCATTTTTCTTTCATAATTATAATTATATTTCCCGTTTATAATATTTGACTTTAATTTTGTATTTAATTTTGATGTCGTTGACTCCTTTTATCTTCTTTTAAATTTTATTTGTTTTCGATTTCGTCTTTTTAGTCACGATTTGATTTTTTCGAAGCCTCGAGTTGTAATAATATAACACTTATTGAGTAGTGAGAATTTGACATCTCGAGATTCTAGGCGTAAACATGATTGTGTTACAACCTCACTCTTAAAAAAAAAAGCAAAAAAGAAAATTATACCAAAACAATGAAATAGTACAAGGCAAGGATTTCAGATACGCATCATATATGTATGTACAACCATTACATCATATAATCAAACACAAAACATAAAACCAAAGCAAATCCTATCCAACCTAACTCTAAAGTAGGTTAAAAGAGTCGACTTACTAGTCGTTTTGTGTTCAAATAAGTTCAAAATTGCATAACTAGACTCTTTGGACGGCGGGAAATCTAACTTGGGTCATTGGGGTTATGGGTCACAAACGAAACACCTCAATCTAGACATAAAAGAGAGCTATCCGGGGGATGCCATTAACTTCGCTACAAAAGGCACCAATTCAATCAGAATCGCATGCCTATACTGTAGATCTGTCGATTACCAAATAGCATGCTAGCAAAGGGGAGACGTTCGCCACTCCGATAACAACGGAGCTTCCTTACGCAGTCGAGGAGGTTAGCTTTCAATCAATTGTTGCGACTTCTCCAAATTAATAATATAGTTCTAAGGAAAACAATTTCCCCCACAAAACCATACAACCTTAAAAGAAACAAATATAAAAAAAAAAACACACACACACACACATGAAGAACAAGGGATATTAGGTGTGGAGTTGAGAGAGAAGTGAATGCCTTACAACTCTAATCATGTCTGATAGGGAGACAACACCAAGAAGCAAACCATGTTCATCAATTACCCAGATTCTATGCACATGTTTTGACACCACCTTCTCCATCACTTCCTCCAACGAACTTTCCGGCCGACATGTAACCAGTTCTCTCCCGACCGCCACACTCCCTTCAAACAACAAGCTGTTTCGGACTGCATCGGTGAAGTCTAGCACCGACCGATGCAGCCACGTCTGCAGCGTCGCGAGCTGACACCCCCTCAGATCGGTTGCCGAAAACGTCCCGACTAGCTTCCTTCCTCTTCCCTGAAAGAGACTTAAACTATCAATTTGATCCCAAAAGAAGCAATTGAAATGAAGGGAAAGTGATAGGCATACAGTGATAAGCTGTGTGTGGAGATGGTCGCCGCCAACAATGGGGACTGCATTGAGGAAGCTAGATTTCATGCACTTAATTGCTTCTATAAGTTTGGTTTGATCTGTAATGGCCATAACATTCTCATTAATCCCTTCCATTTCCTTCACACTTTGTCTCAAAATCGCTTTAATTTCTGGTGTTCTTTCTCTAAGGAATCTCAACACATCCATTTGGGTCACCATCATGTAACTCGTTGCCGACTCAACAAGCTTCACGCCCACGGCCTCCTCGACCTGCCCATCGACGGGAACCAATGCCCTGTGGATCCCCTTGCTGAATATCTCCATACAATCTAATATGCTATGAGACCGGACAATGAATCAGCCTTCACTTACTACTACACCTAAAAACTTACATTCAATTTGGAATATATTTTCAATTTAATCCCTAAATTTCAATATTTATCGCTAGTAGACTGAGTAGAATAAATTGTCGACCAAGTTTTGAGCTTGTCGTGTTTTTAATTTGAGCTTGTCGTGTGTTTTCTCCATTAACATGTACGGTTCTTTTCACCACTCCATAAAATTGAAAAGCTAAGTGCTTGAAGTTCGAATTGAAAAGCTAAGTGCTTAAATTGAAAAGCTAAGTGCTTAAAGTTTCGAATTGAAAAGCTAAGTGCTTAAAGTTTCGAATTGAAAAGCTAAGTGCTTAACGTTTCGAATTGAAAAGCTAAGTGCTTAAAGTTTCTCCGGAAGATCTCTCCCCTTTTAATTCTTTTCGACATATTTGGATCGTAGATCAAATCCAACTAAAATGTAAAAAAAAAAAAATGTTGTTCAAATTATCCGAGATAAACTCAAGTTCCAATTAATGTCAATTCGAAAAAAAATTGAGATTAAAGCTAGGATTCATTTATTCTTAGATGATACGTTCTAGCACATGGAGGGTGATATCACTACCTCATGGCTATTTACGGTCATGAAGTATTAAGGTTATAACTCTTAAAATGTGTTCGTGATCAGAAGTTTCATCTTAAGGCTAATAAATTATTAATGAATTTCAAACAAAAGATTGAGAATTACCATTTTCATGTATTATCTAGTCACCTACCTGGTGTTAGGATTCAAAGTCCAGAGACTCAACCCTTCAACACTATGTCCAATTATTGACGATATGGGAACCGCCATCTTCCGATCGAGATCGAGCAGATCACCACTACTATCATGAGCATCCTCACTGCCAGCAATATGAGCCAAGATATCAAGCATCGTGACCATCCCAATATAATGCTTTCTTACCACCCCAGTGCTCTTATCAGCCTCCATGATCATGGAACCGCCAGCGCCGATCCAGTGGCCAGGCGGCGCAGCCACGGGAACAGCCACGACGCAGTTGGCGACGAGAACGTTCATTGTGTGAGCTAGAGAGGCGGTGTAAGGCACCTCCACCAGCCGCCTCCAATCCCTCATCAGATCTTTCACCTTCTTGTCCACCACCGCCTGAATGGTGTCGGGTTTCTTGGCCGTCGGTTGTTGCATTTTTGTTTGGTTGTTTTTGTGATTTTAGGATTTGAGGGATTTATTTATTTGGCGAGGGTTTTGTAGGTGTCGAGCTCTGGAGGGGATTCGTTTGCATGGGGGTGGATTTGTTGACACGTACCAAAGCTTTGTATTAGTATTTGAGATCACCCTTTTAAAAAACCAATGGTAACCGAAGACAATGTCTACTAACGGTGGGTTTGGAGCCGTTACAAATGGTATCAGAACCTAATACAGAGCGATGTGTCAGCGACGAGGCTGAGCTCCAAAGGAAGTAGTGTGCCAACAAGAATGCTAGGTCCCAAAGGGGGTGGATTTGGTGGGGTTCCACATCAATTGGGAAAGGAACGAGTGTTAGTGAGGACGCTGGGCTCCGAATAGAGTGGATTGTGAGATCCCACCTTGGTTGGGGAGGAGAACTAAGCATTTTTTATAAGGGTGCAGAAACATTTTTCTTAATAAACGCGTTTTAAAAACCTTGAGAAAAATCCCAAAAGAAAAAACTCAAAGAGTACAATATCTACCGTAATACTTCAAGTCTCGATGACTATATATTACTAAACCAATTTCATTGTGGAAGGCTATGATTCGGAGAATGAAGTAGAAGCTTATATTATCATTAACTTAGGGTTATGCTACTGATATCTCAAGCTCACTGTATAATATTGGTAAAAATCCGTGTAACACCTTCTTACTCGAATTGTAAGAAATGTTACTTGTAGCTTAGGAAAATGTAGCTAGAACTAGCGAGATGAGGATAGTTTCGATCAATAAGATTTAAATATTTCATTTACTTATAAAGTAAAATAATTATAAAAAAAAATACAAACTTTTCTTACCTTATAAAATAAAATAATTAAAATGTAAATAGTCACTTCTAATGAAATAAAACTATAATTTAAAAAAAAAATTGGTATATTTGATTAAATTACATGTTTTTTAAAGAAAAGTGGAAAAAAAACAGTTGGTATTTAAAAAATAAATAAAATAAACTTTAAATCACGAAGCAAATGCCGCAGCGAGAAGAGACAAACTTCAAATGCTATATTTTTAATCTCTTCAAAATTAAACTATTTAAATTAATAATTCAAAATTAAAAAAAAATAGGATATTCAAAAGCCCTCGTATTTAGGCCCATTAAACTTTGTCACGTGGGCCTGG